CGGATACCGCGCGGGTCTCAGCACAAACAGCCTCCACAGATGTCGAATGCGGTCACCAGAACATATACGACCACAAAAAACGACCAGGTATGTGTGGAGAGCCCATAGCTGTCCTAGCGAACATTATACAGATGAGCTCCGGGAGCCTAATTTGTGTCTGTATTTACATACCATCTGTATGGGCTTATGTATATTAGTTTGACTCTTTCCTTGTCGGTGGTCTCTGGTCTGCGGCAACCGCCTGCATGTGTCGACAGGTGGAAGTTTTTGTCCCGCCCATTCAGCTCAAAACCTGAGCCACTGTTGGCAAAAGTCGGTAGTTTCTCAAATTCCACCAAGAGATTAAATGTTCTTTATAGAAGACCTATGTTTCAACGTTCAACCGGCATGGTTGAATGAGATCTAACGTCATTTCAGCCTTATTTCAGCCTTATTTTACAGTTAAATCACACCGACGTGGACAGCGGATACATTATAATCAACAGGTCATGGGTCACAGACCTACTAACGATAGGCTAAAGTAGCGCAGAAAAGCTAGCCCTCGCCCGCACATGGGGGGGGTGGTTGCCACCCCCCCCCCAGGTAGTCTTTCTGCTCTGCACTCAACATTTTTAGAGCTAGAAAGCTGATTTTTCGTATAGCTGCTCCTCTATCCTTTCTTGATGTCCACTGAAAATTTCAAGTTTCTGTGATTTTTGGTTTCGGAGATATGACCTTGTTTTTCAGGTCATGTCATGACCCAAATGGCCAATTCTCAACATCTTGCGTTTGCCATGGGCCTTATGAGCTTTTGACACCCTGATTTCGGCTTTTTTTGCCAGTCTTACCTCCCACCTATCATGGAACATGTTGTTCGACGATGTACAGGGGTCAAGGTCAGGGTCAAGGTCAACCTAGGTCATCTAAGATAATTGCGTTTTAGGCAAGCTGAATTTACTTTTTTTGAAGTTTTTTGACTGCATTGTTGGTAAAAGCTTCTCAGATCATGATTTCATGTAATATGGACCCAAAAACAATCGGTGCACACATCAGTATACACACAGACACACACAGACATACAAACACATATAATTGACCTTGACCTAACTTGACCTGAAATGACCTCAGCAGCAAAATTCTGGTCGGGTAGTGTGACAAAGAGGTTCTAGCTGGCTTGGCACCAGAAAACAGCATCGTCATCGGTATTTGATAAGCAGCACACTTGATATCCAACGATGACCCAAAACAGCAATATTTTTTAGTTTGACCTGACCTGGAAGGTCAATGACTGACCTGAGAAGGTAAAACTGGGTATCATTGGATTCGTCTCTTCCCAAAGAATCTTTTTGGTCTTTACAGCTAAGCTCTATCTCCAACAGGAACGAAATGGCGCGGGGGGGGTGGCAACCACCCCCCCCCCCCCATGTGCGTTCTAGGATGGGAAAATGGCATGTGCGGGCGAGGGCTAGTGAAAAGTTATTTTCGAAATTTTTTACTACAACACAGCGCCTGGCAAAAGGTGTGGTCATATCCCCACGGTCAAAAATAAACTTCACACACTGGCACATACTCTGCCTCTGTCTATAGGTATCTGTCTCTGTCTCCGTCTCTGTCTACGTCTGTCTCTGTCTCTGTCTCCTTCTTTCTGTCTCTGTCTATGTCTCTTTCTAACTATCTCTGTTTGTTCCTGTTTCTTTCTCTGTCTCTGTCGTTATCTCTCTCTTCTCTCTCTCTCTCTCTCTCTCTCTCTCTCTCTCTCTCTCTCTCTCTCTCTCTCTCTCTCTCTCTCTCTCTCTCTCTCTCTCTCTCTCTCTCTCTCCCTCTCTCGTCACGCGCCATAAGCGTCACACTGCCACGCTTCCTAATATCTAGAACAGACCCGGCTTTGGCGTCCACAAAACTTTGTAAAAGTGGAATGACCATGTTAATCATTCTAGCTTATTGGCTTTTAATAGATGAGGCTAAGTCCTAACATAGTTTTGTGGTTTGACGGTGAGACGGTCGGTTATGTGTTCTCACGTTACTGACTCTTGTGTTGTAGTCCGCCTAGTCGATCGCGCTTCGTGTAGGTCGCCAATGGAGGGCAACTGAGCGCCTATCGTCCGTTTGTGCTGTAATTAAACAAAGCAGATTTCAATTCAAAGGAAGCTAATGGTTAGGATGCTACTAATTCCACTTTTATAGAACACCCAGCTATCCAACAAAGGCATATTATAGAGCAAATATTTTCTGAATAATATTTACATATTGATATTTCACCACTTGGTAATTGGTATCAAAGTGCACTAAATTCCTATGTGCAGCCTGCACCTCTGCACATCGCTTGTAACTGTCGAAAAAGCAGAAGCAATTGTGAGAAAATTGCTCGCACTCATACATGTATTTACAGCCATTGGATTTGATCAATCAAACCCAGATGTAGCCAATAGAGCAGTCCCCTGCGGCCGAGATGTCATCCTGCATAACATTCATTGATGACATAGCGTGAACAAAAAATATTTTTGGTCACTGTCAACCGCATATCCTCAGTAACAGTGCCCGCCGCCTCAATAGCAATGACCGCACAGTGGGACTGAACAGTTGTTAATGACACAAAACAAAAACAAAAACAACATTAACAATATTCAACAATTACAGTTTTACAACTGTGAGGTTCTCAACAATGGAATAAATCACTCGCGGAGCACCATGCTCAGATGATGCATCCGCTACTCGGTGGACCACGAGTCCTCAAAGTCCCTCTGGAGCTGGTTCATCCAGACCGAGTGGTCCACCTCCCACTGGTCCGAGTCCAGGCCACGGCCGGAGGAGTTGTTGGTGATGACGGCGTAGGCGACCCCGGTGACGGCCAGACCGACCAGGGCCAGCAAAGAGAGCAGCAGGAACGGCGCCGCCGCTGCGGGGACGGGACACGGGGCAGCGTGTCACGCATACACGACAACAGTTCTACTGTTCGAGCTTTTCTACTATCATCAATAAACGTCAGACATAATCAAGTACAGACGTATCGTTCTGAACAGCTTCACGTCATATTTCAACCACCAGCTGATATTCCAATATCCATCTATCGCATGCTTATATGCATGATATTCCATAGGCATCCGAAATTTATTACTATCGAATGAAGTGAAGTGACATATATTCTTTGCAATTTTACAATAGTTTCTCATTCTTATTTAGAACGGCATTCAAGACTTACAGAAGAATGCGGGGTCTGTTCTGTCACTGAATCCTTGGAAAATGTTCTGCAACCTGAAAAAGGCATATGCGTAATGAAAGTACACGTCGCCTTTTGTTGCCAATGCTGCCTTGAACTATTTTCTCACATTCGGTACTGTTAACCTGTCTTGTACCATTTCATTAAACATGCATCTTTTGAATGAATTATTCATAAGAAAGTAAGAGAGGTCATTAACCCGCGCCCCGTTGGGGTCTGCCGATCAACGCGCCCTGTTGGGGGGGGGGGGGCAATTTGCCCCCCCCCCCCTAAGATCTCGAGAACCACGCAACATAGCGACAAGCAGCAAACGGTGTTCAATAGCCCCAATGGGGAACTACTTTGTGAGTTGTGACCCAATTTCATTGACCTAGGTCAAATCGATGACGTCACAGGTCAGGTCAAATGTCGAATTTTCACCGTTTACAGGCATTTCAAGAAATGCATTGTAAAATCGAGTAAAATGCATTTCATTGAAAATCATCGATGGGGAAATGTTCGTCAAACACATATTTAGCTATTTTAGGTCACTGATACCAGGTCAGGTCACAGAGGTCAGGTCACTGAGGGTCACAATATGAAAATATATGTGATGCATGTTTTATGGTCCATTTTATATGCCAAATGCGATTATGTGGGTCAGGCAGTCTTTGGGGTCAGTTAAGATTATGTTCTGGTGAAGGTCACGTCAAGGTCAGGTCTTGGTCAGGTCAAATTAGGTCAAATTTCAAAGTTAATATTTTGCATAAAATGGGTATCGATTCGATGCAGTTCCTTTCTGTGTTTTCACTCGGACAGCTCGACCATACCAATCGACTGATATGCAGCATGACCCTTTCCGGTCAGGTCATGACCTTGACCTGAAGTCAAAGTTTCAAAATGATCTTTCAAGGTCAATTTATAGTTCATCCGACGCGTCTCGACGAGAAGAACACCGTGCTGGCAAAAATAATGTCGTGGTTCTCTTGAGTCAAAAGTTATAACCGAAAAACATCTTTCGTAAAAACAGCTATATTTGGGGTTTCTGTCCTCTGGAGGCTAAACCGTTGACCTGAGGTCAAATCTGATAACATTACTCAGACATGCCTGTAAAAGAGCTATCGAATGCGCCTTACTGTAGCGGTATAGCCCTATTGGTTCCCGAGTTATGCGTCGGGTGTGTTCGAAAATTGTTGAAATAGACAAAATTTGACCTTTGATGATCTCTGGTGACCTGACCTTTGACCTATCATAAAAATGACCCAGGTATTTCCGTCATTATTTTTGACGGTCTTTCAAATGCTGCTAACCGCATAGTGTCACTATGTGGCCCAGGAGCCGAGTTAGGCGGAGGGCGTGAAAACGCCCCCCCCCCCCCCTCCCCAGCACGACACGGAAAACTCAAACCACAAGCACGGCGCAAGTTGGGCTATTCGCTGACTTATCAAAAAGTACCAAAATAAACTAAAGATGTCTGTCATTTGCCGACTTCTTCTGTGCTAACCTTTCACCTGATCTAAGAATTAGCCGTATGCTTGAGTCATAATCTTTACTTTTTAACCGTTAACGCTGCATATCGTGTGTGAAGAAGTTACGTGGCCCAGGGCCGGGTTCGACGTGGGAGTTTTCACTCCCCCCCCCCCTCCTCGTCCCATTGTGGGTGGTGCCGGGCACCGCTCCAGTGCTGGTTAACTCCATTTGAGTGTCAGACTAGAAAGTTAATTCATTTTTTCAAGCCACACAAACACATACAAAGCCTATGTTCACAAATATCTACGTAATTCAACAACACTGAATACCACGTAAATGTTCAGCAAGGTGGTCTTAATGGCTTTATTAATGGAATGTATCCTCGGCTACCGAGCACGTTAACTGAGCCCATTAACTTGAAATGACTCATCCGAGAGTCGAGACTAATTGACGGCCATTTGTTAGCATTTTACGGTGGCAAGCCGCCGGCAGAACCGTCCACCCGCTCTAGTTTATTGAGTTTGTAGGCAAATGGCTGAGCTTAATTGGATGTCTTTTCACCTAAACGTCTTAATAGTATACCGAATAGTAAAGCGATAGACTTGCGTTCATTGTTTGCTTGACATGACACAGACATGGCGAATGTTTCTAAATGAAGCTCAATTCGTGGCCAATTTGCACTAAATTTCATGATGCACCAAAAATAGGTGCAGAAGCTTTAGAAAGAACAGTAAATGTTTATGTTTAAACATAGACCACTATATGTATAGATATATAGTGGTAGATATATAGTGGTCTATGGTTTGAATGTCGAAAAACTTCGCTGATCAGGGCCACTCTTCAAGTCTAAATATTTTTTAATGGATTTTCTGACCGGCGCATAGGTAAATACACATGCACGCTGCATTTCAAAGCGCGATGCAGCTGTGATCGTGCCTTGTTATGCTGCCGACTGACGTCTGTTGTCTGCTGTCTAAGGCTGGCTATCCTTGTCGTGTGTCGTGCACCGGTGGTCGCCCCCAAGCGTGCCGTTGGCTACCCCTGCCGTGTTCTGTTGGCTATCCCTTACGTGACCTGCTGGCTACCTTTTGCAATACCCCAGTCCCCTGACGCGCTGGCTATCCCTGCCATGACACACTACCTCTGCCATGACCCGCTGGTCAGCCCTGAAGTCAGTCAGTACACGCCTCCCGTGACCCGCTGACAACCCTGCCGTGTCCTGCTGCCGCCGGTTTCCCACCCGTCTGTGATGCCCCGGGAGGCCTGCGATGTGATTTCTGACCTCTTCGTGATGCTCCAGCTATCTGTGATGCCCAGGGAGGCCTAGGATGAGATGTCTCCTCTGTCTATACTGTCTCACCTGTCTGTGATGCCCCGGGAGGCCTGGGATGTAACGTCCCACCTCTCGGTGATGCCCGGGGACTTGGGAGGTCGGGATGTGATGCCCCACCTGTGGGTGATGTCCCACCTGTCTGTGATGCCTGGGGAGGCCTGGCTGTGATGTCTCACCTCTTCGTGATGCTCCAGCTATCTGTGATGCCCTGGCTAGAGGCCCTTGGATGAGATGTCCCCCCTGTCTATGATGTCTCACCTGTTTGTGATGCCCCGGGAAGCCCGGGATGAGATGTCCCCCCTGTTTATGATGTCTCACCTGTTTGTGATGCCCCGGGAAGCCTGGGATGAGATGTCCCCTCTGCCTAAGATGTCTCACCTGTCTGTGATACCCGGGGAGGAGACCGGCGGCCGATAGTAGTCTGCAGTGCCGCTCGGGTTATAAGTAAAGTAATCTTGGCTCGGGTAGCCCGGCCCGCTCGGTCGGTAGTTGTTGGAGAAGGAGGAGACGTACTGAGAGGAGACGCCGCACACCAGCACGGCACATACCGCCAGGCGAGCCACCCGCTGCATCTGAGAACACACACGGCGACAGTCAACGAGCGCGCATCACTATGGTCGCGAGCATCATATATAAAAAACGACAATATATTCAAATACACAATTAACAAAAACACTTGTTTTCTTAATTGTGTATTGGAATATATTGTCGTTTTTTATATATATCTGTCATGGATAACACACAATCGCGAGCATCAATGTGAACTGTGAACACATTAGTCTTTCACAATATCTCGGTGTGAAATAAGAAACGTAAATAATGCTTATCTATGGTGTCCAAATAAAGAAAAATTATAAGTCACTCAGTGGTAAAGATCTAATAGATACTGCATTACTCTGAACCTAGATGGGCTAGAAGGTAGTTTGTACATTCGCTTTCTATCAACGCTTCTTAAATGAGCTTGTTTGTACGTACAAGTCCATAAAAAACTGCTAACAAAAGTGTTGCATAATTGAGAATATTGGAGCTGTTCAATGCGAATTGACATATCAACTTTGTAGCCCAAATATTAGGTACACTGGTAAATCAGAGCCTTCCACTGCCCATCAAGCCTTCAAATGAAGCATTATATTTCTATATCGCATTTCTTACATATCTTCATCATGAATCTTCCTTGCCTAGTAATTCGGTGGCTTACTACGAGTGGCCAACGAATTAAATAATTAACGACTAACGAGCATACCCTAACCAATTTTTAAACCACCTAAAAAAGGTACAGATATTATTAGCTAAAACGCTTTAAGTTTTGCATTTGTCTCTTAGCAATAAGTTATTTCACGTCCATACCAGCACAGCAAAAGAGTTAATAAAAAATATAAGAGTATAATGAAGGATATGGAATGCTGGATTCGACATCTAAAATGGGGAATAATTATGTTCATAAGCATTATAAATATTTACACTAGGTACCGAACATTTGATTCCTTACCTTGTATGGTGAATATAAGTTCTCCTCTTTGAGCACAAGCAATCACCCAGTGCAATACCACTTCGCGTGTCAGTGGGCACCGACGCTGCTGTCTCAAAGGTCTGTCCACCGGCGGAACTTTGTCGGTTTCTGAGACCGCGCTCCACACACTCACACTTTTGTAGTAGGACTCAGGTGCAGCCTGGATGATTTTCAACTTGCCAAGTCATCCTTTGTGTGACGCTATACGCTGGAGTGTTGCTTTTTTCGCCGGATTCTCCATCAATTATACGGAAGCCGAGTTTCGTCCTGTCGTCGAGCGTACGTTTCTATTTGCTATCTGTCGCGGCCACCGACCACGCCGACGCCGCTGTGCGTTTGTGTTTGTGTGTCCGTATGTCCGTGCTAAACACACGGATACACGGATCGGATATGCATGTGTACGTGGGTGATAGTGGTTTTGTACCTACCGTAAACGTGGTTGAGACGGAGAGGTAACGAGTAATGCGCATTGCGGTGTAACAAATTGAGCGATCACCTTCCCGCAGCAGCTTGAGTTTTATGGACCACTCAGCGTTTTTGCAACGTCTCCTTCAAACCTCATCAGTAGGAAAGCGGATAATTAGTGGTATAGACAGGGCTAAACAATCAACCTTTGGCTTTTTATACGAAAATAACCAAGTTTGCCCATCTGAAGTGAATGAAAATCAGATTACCATTGTGTGCGGCTTAAGCAATATCATTTCCAAAAGATTGAAGCAAAAGCTTTAAAAATATGTGCTGAACAGCGAATATAAGCTTTGGATGTGAACATCTCGGCAAGGCAGATCTCATGTACTTGCATGGAACATTAACTTTCCGGTCAGGTCATGAGCTTGCACAAAGGTCACAGGAGGTAATCTGAACCAACTTTGCACGGAAGGGGACGAAAACTTTCCGCCCAGATAAAGAATAAAACGCTGTCATAGTTTTCAGTTTTGTCAAAATGAGACCACCAAAGTGCATCGAAAGTCAAGCTGTGTGAGTTCTCATTGGAGGCCGGCAATGTCCAGCACACTCGTAAACAAAATGAGGTAGAGTGCGCCCGATCCCCGATCACGGGGCGCTAGCGCGGCTGTATGTACCTACCACTTTGGGTTCGGGCTGCTGTGCCGATTAGCGTTTCCCGCAGTTTGTTTCCAGACACGTGTGTGCATCTATAGCATGCCGTACGTGACGTGACGTGGTGAATTCCGCATCCAGTTTTTGTGCCCGTCAGAGGAGTCCTTTGGACAACACACCCTGATTACTACAGAACATTCCTAACTTTGTCCAGTCACACAAAACTTTCACTCTTTCCAGAATCAACATTTATTTAGGAGTAGCTGCAAACACTCAAAAGCACAGATCAATATCAGTACGATTACAGAGCTCATAGCTTTAGCTTTAGCTCAACACTGCATAGACCAGCGTGATAACCAGAGCGAAATGTATCCCTCTGTGCAAGTGCACATCGAGGAGACTAGCTCTTATATGAGGAGATTGCCGTACAGCACAGTTCGTTTGGATATGGGGAAATAAAAGTGCAGTTGAGCAAGTGTAAGTGAGGGAGGGTGTACTCCACCTGTAAGTGCGGAATAAAGGCGACTAAATTACGCGCAGCATTCGTGTATGTACGTTTAGAGGAGGCGATGGGAATCATCCTTGGGCTAAAAGAACTCGGCCTGAAACACTGGGCGTGCCGCACCTACAGGGTGTTTCACTAAAAGTGTCAAAAAGTAAAAGGTCATAATGCACATAATACAAATGTTTTCTAAGGAAATTTGCATATCATTTCATCCGCAATTGTTGGACATTTGAATATATAAAAACGATATCACCGTCACTCAAACCTATTCCACATATCCGCCCCTTCTTTTGATGCACCGTTTCGGCACGTGTCCGGAGGTGCCTCACAGCCTGTTTTCATCTTCAGCGTCCAGACTGTCGGCAAAGCCTTGAACTGTGCTCTTCAGCTCCCGAAGTGATGCGACTTGAGTCTTCCTCAGCTCTGCGAGAGCTACTGAGTCACTGACCAAACCAGAGGTCTAGCGGTGACAGATCGGGGCTTCGTGCTGGCCAGGGGCGGGCGGTGAGGCAGCTGATTATTCGGCCCAGGAACTTCTGGTCCAGCCAGTTCCTGGTGGCTACAGCCGTTACAGTAGTTGATTTTAATAACTTGTAAGGCTTTGGCTATTTCTGATGTTGGAATTATGCTTCTTGTTATCTTCAAAGGCCCTCAAAAAGACCCTGACCTTCTCAACGGTTTCCGCCGAGAGGTGGGGGCGACCCCGCCTTTTTTGGACTGGAACCGGCATCGAAGGAACCCTTTTAAACCTCTCAACAAGCCCTTTGAAACCTTTATAATATGGAACGTAGCGAGGTGAGAGAGTAAAACGTGTCATGAAAAGTCGGCATAAGGTTTCAATGTTTCTGATAGCACCAAATGTAAGTGTAATTCACCCCTCCTGTTGCGGTGTAAATAACCTGTTCTTGTTCTGCATAAGGAAAAAACGACTAGTAACTTTGGCCTCCTGCCCTCGCTCCGTATGGGTGTAAAATATATCTTAAATGGACAAACAATAAATGTCCAAAAATTTGCAACAAAGCCACGTGCGCAGCCACGTGAGTTGCATATTCTATATATCTTTAATAAGCATTTTAATAAGCATCTTTAATAAGCATTACTTTTTGACACTTTTAGTGAAACACCCTAGGGCCTAGGCAGATGCATAGCACTAGCCAGTTGCATAACATGCTTATATCACTGAATTTCTTGCTTGGGATTGAATCGTTTTTAGATTTGTTTGTATGGATTGTCCGAAGTTCAGCGAATAAAAACATTTGTATTACGGCCTGCGGAAATGGGACCGTATTAGAGCCGGCGATAATCACGGAACATTAGTGTCGGGGCAGACTGCGGCGGGGCAGACTGCGGCGACCCCTAGGAAGAACAACTAGGGAGAACAACATTCGACAGATGGCAGCACTAGACGAGATAATCAGGCAATACTTAAATATTAATGGGAAAGAAATCATGCCAATGTTAGCCCTCAGTCTCACCAAGCATGTTACCACGACAATGGAAGAATGTAGTGTAGTACCCCTCCCCGGGCCCGCCGCGGGCTGGCAGCGGCGGCCGGAGCCGGTCCGACCTTTGGCCGGCCGGGTCAGGTAACCGGGACGGCCGCGCCGCGGCGCCGCGCCCGGGCCGGCCGGGAGACGGAGTCGGGTGCCCGCCGGCGAGCCGTCGGCAAGGGCGCGGGGCACATTAGTCGAGTTGAATGTTCACTGTTCAGTCTTGAGTGCGAGTGATGTATGTGTGAATCGATATGTGAGCAGCAAAATCCAACAAGAAAACAAATCCGTGAAAGAAAGGCAACGCTGGCAAACATCACCACCATAGTCTAAGCTTCCTACGCCGAACGAGTTCCACACCAACGTGCATCAGCGAGAGTAAAACTAGGATCCTACTGTGGTCGCGATGGCCCCTCGCCAGCGAAAAAAAAAACTGCAGGTATGTTACTGGACATTCCCTGCTACCTAACTAGGTGTGTCGACGGCTTTCACCGCGTGCATGGGGAGATTACCCCCCCCCCGGCGCCGGGCGCCATTTTGTCTCGCCCGTTCCTCGCCGCGTCCCATAACACGCCGGTGGTGATTGCCACTTGCACCTTACTCACTCACGTGATCGCTAACGGCGATTCAATATAGCATACATGATAAAAGTTACTGACCATAACGAGCCCCACACTGACTGCAATCAGGTGTCTCACCACCTGCAATGTGCCTGGGGAGCAGCTCACCCCGGTGTGATTTGCTCAGTGTATGAACCTGTGACTTTCTGTACATTTATATTGTGCCCGGCCAACCAGGATGACCTCCTCTTCCGTACCTACAATGGTTCTTTCCAGGTCAATGTCATTGCTTGCCTGGCCCCAGTCATTGACGTTTCTTAGCCTGCCATGCATTTTTAGCCCTATATACTCTTTGCTTGCCTGGCATCAGTATTGATGTCCATGGCCTACGCCCAATGCCCTGTCGCCCTGACGCCATCTTGGCGGGTCCGACCAGCCATAGCGTGATCATGACGTCAGCTCTACGTGGCACTTCCAACGCTGGTAGCGCCACGGGCGGCGGCAGCAACAATAGCTACTGATGGTCACGTGGTTGCCAGCGGCGCAGGCGCGGGCGTGTGACACTTGACCGTCCTCCGCACCGGGGGCGGCCGGGTGACTCATCCGGCGTGACGTCAGCTGCCCTTGAAAAGGCCATGACGGGCCTGTGGCCGACGGTCGGACTGCCGTTGATCGGGGGTGTTGCCTTTCACCGGTCTGCAGCGGACCGACTGGGGGTCAGGTCACTGCTGGCAATGTGCCACACTGTGGATGCACGTATGCCTGCTGCTATGCTGCATTGCCGCCATGAGCCTGTCCACCGACCGTATACCTACACGGAACGCGCACCTACCTGACACCAGTTGGCAGCGCCAGACTGTGACGCAAAGATGCATTTCCGACCCGGCGCCAAGGCTGAGAAATAATAAGGGGTCGGCAGACACCCCCTCCGGCGGCGCCTGTTTGCAGTAGTGGCCCTGTCCCATCCCCTCACCTGTCCACTTAGACTCCCCTACAGACATCAAGGGCTGTTTGTGATAGCTGCATCTACACACATGCACGGCTGTCCGCGATAGCCCCACCTACAAACAGGCACGGCTGTCCGCGATAGCCTCACCTACAAAAAGGCACGGCTGTCCGCGATAGCCTCACATGCCGACATGACATGCACGGCTGTCCGCGATAGTCTCACCTGCAGACGTGCGTGGCTGTCCGCGATAGCCTCACCTGCAGACATGGACGGCTGTCCGCGATGGCCCCACATTGTCACACGTCAGGCTGTCCGCGATAGCCTCACCTACAAAACGGCACGGCTGTCCGCGATAGCCTCACCTGCAGACATGCACGGCTGTCCGCGATAGCCTCACATACCGACATGCACGGCTGTCCGCGATAGTCTCACCTGCAGACGTGCACGGCTGTCCGCGATAGCCTCACCTGCAGACATGCACGGCTGTCCGCGATAGCCTCACATACCGACGATAGTCTCACCTGCAGACGTGCGCGGCTGTCCGCGATAGCCTCACCTGCAGACATGGACGGCTGTCCACAATAGCCTCACATGCCGACATACACAGCTGTCCGCGATAGTCTCACCTACAGACGTGCGTGGCTGTCCGCGATAGCCTCACCTGCAGACATGGACGGCTGTCCGCGACGGCCCCACATTGTCACACGTCAGGCTGTCCGCGATAGCCTCACCTACAAAAAGGCACGGCTGTCCGCGATGGCCCCACATTGTAACGTCAGGCTGTCCGCGATAGCCTCACCTACAAGAAGGCGCGGCTGTCCGCGATAGCCTCACCTGCAGGCATGCACGGCTGTCCGCGATGGCCTCACCTGAAGACATGGACGGCTGTCCGCGATGGCCCCACATTGTAACCCGTCAGGCTGCCCGCGATAGCCTCACCTACAAAAAGGCACGGCTGTCCGCGATAGCCTCACCTGCAGACATGCACGGCTGTCCGCGATAGCCTCACCTGCAGACATGGACGGCTGTCCGCGTTGGCCCCACATTGTGACACGTCAGGCTGTCGGCGATAGCCTCACCTAAAAAAAGGCACGGTTGTCCGCGATAGCCTCACCTGCAGACATGGCCGGCTGTCCGCGATGGCCGCACATTGTAACACGTCAGGCTGTCCGCGATAGCCCTACCTACATACATGCAAGGCTGTCCGAGACCTCACCTCCAGACATGCACGGCTGTCCGCGATAGCGAGGATAAGAAAGGCACGGCTGTCCGCGATAGCCTCACCTGCACACATGCACAGCTATCCGCGATAGTCTCACCTGCAGACGTGCACGGCTGTCCGCGATAGCCTCACCTACAAAAGGCACGGCTGTCCGCGATAGCCTCACATGCCGACATGCACGGCTGTCCGCGATAGTCTCACCTGCAGAAGTGCTCGGCTGTCCGCGATAGCCTCACCTGCAGACATGGACGGCTGTCCGCGATAACCCCACATTGTAACACGTCAGGCTGTCCGCGATAGCCTCACATGCCGACATGCACGGCTGTCCGCGATAGTCTCACCTGCAGACGTGCGTGGCTGTCCGCGATAGCCTCACCTGCAGACATGGACGGCTGTCCACGATGGCCCCACACTGTAACACCTCAGGCTGTCCGCGATAGCCTCACCTACAAAAAGGCACGGCTGTCCGCGATAGCCTCACCTACAAAAAGGCATGGCTGTCCGCGATAGCCTCACCTGCAGATATGCACGGCTGTCCGCGATAGCCTCACCTGCAGACATGGACGGCTGTCCTCGATGGCCCCACATTGTAACACGTCAGGCTGTCCGCAATAGCCTCACCTACAAAAAGGCACGGTTGTCCGCGATAGCCTCACCTGCAGACATGGCCGGCTGTCCGCGATGGCCCCACATTGTGACACGTCAGGCTGTCCGCGATAGCCCTACCTACATACATGCAAGTCTGTCCGAGATAGCCCCACCTATAGACATGCCCGGCTGTCCGCGATAGCCTCACCTCCAGACATGCACGGCTGTCCGCGATAGCGAGGCTACAAAAAGGCACGGCTGTCCGCGATAGCCTCACCTGCAGACATGCACGGCTGTCCGCGAGTCTCACCTGCAGACGTGCACGGCTGCCCGCGATAGCATCACATGTAGACATGGACGGCTGTCCGCGATGGCCCCACATTATGACATGTCAGGCTGTCCGCGATAGCCTTACCTACATACCTGCAGGGCTGTCCGAGATAGCCCCACCTATAGACATGCCCGACTGTCCGCGATAGTCTCACCTCCAGACATGCCCGGCGTTCCGCGATAGCGAGGCTACAAAAGGCACGACTGTCCGCGGTAGCCTCACCTGCAGACATGCACATTGCACGGCTGTCCGCGATAGTCACACCTGCAGACGTGCACGGCTGTCCGCGATGGCCTCACCTGCAGACGTGGACGGTTGTCCGCGATGGCCCCACATTGTGACAGGTCAGGCTGTCCGCGCTACCCCCTGCCTACATACATGCAGGGCTGTCTGCGATAGCCCCACCTAAAAAATGCCCGGCTGTCCGCAATAGCCCTACCTACATACATGCAGGGCTGTCCGCGATCGCCCCACCTACGTACATGCAGGGCTGTCCGCGATAGCCCCGGGCCGTCCACGATAGCCCCACATCCATCCATGCAGGGCCGTTCGCGATAGCCCCACCTGTAGACATGCCCGGCTGTCCGCGATAGCCCCCACATTGTGATACACCAGGCTGTCCGCGATTGCCCACTTAGACATGGAGGCTGTCCGCATAACCCACCTGGTCACCTACGGCTCTCGTGACCATTCACTGCCGTTCACTGTGATCTCACAGTCTGGCTCTCGCCAAAAAACTATCCGTTAGGCGCTCCACAATTAACACCCTCAGTGGGGTGGCCCGTTACACATCCTTTAGCCTGTAAGTACCAGTGCCCGATATGTACTTACGACAACTACAGAATGCCACCATACACTTTGAGTTGTGCTGCCACCAGGTGGCAGTGCACCCTGCACCTGGCCTGTCGCTGGGGCTGGGCGGTAACCTAACATAAATGTTTACTCCACAGCTAGTTCGGCCCGCCAGCCCAGCCGGCTCGCCATTCGCCACCAACTGCGACTTCTCTCTTCCCGTTTATTATCCAGGCGACAGACGGCCGCGCCCCCTCCGCCTCAACCCACTGCCAGTGAACCCGCTCTCGTGTCAAGGCCGGCTACGGCAGCCGACACCGACAGCCGTGGCTCTCCCGCCGACGCAGACATCTCGGTTAGTTCGGGCGGATGCTTCCCGAGACCCGGCCGTCGACCGTCCATCGCAGGCCGCGCCACCGCCGGGCCGGCAGGTCTCCGCCAAGCTTCCCGGCCTGCGGATCCCCCACACCGGAGGTGGTCACATTCGTCTGAGAACCGCGGCCGCCGCCGACGGAGGCGCAGTCCCAGCAGCTCCGGCCTCTCCGAATGGTCCGACTCCGAACCCTCGCGTTCTGCGGGCGAGCCGTCGCCGTCCCGCCGCCCAGAGCAACGGAGTCATAAGCGCCCGCGGACAGGCGGCAGCCGGGGCCACCCCACCTGATACTCAAGAATCATACTAGTACATTTTCAGTGGACCACACTGCAGTACGCACCACTAACGGACCATCCGACTCTGCAGGCGGGCGCTCCGCCGCAGCAGCACCGGCTCGACCTGAGCCGGCTCGGCTGCAGGAGGCTCAGCCACAGCCGGCTCGGCTGCAGGGGGCTCAGTCCCCGTCTGCTCCGTAGCGTGCTGCAGTGTCTCAGGCACAGCACGCACGGTCGTTCCATTGTCTACAACCACGTCAGCGCCGTCCTCAGTTGCCTCCCAGTGACAGTCCACGTACAATGGCGGCCCGTCATCGACACTGTCACTGTCCCCGTCGCCGTCATCGACACTGTCACTGTCCCCGTCGCTGTCCTGCCGGTCACATCGGTGACGAACGTTTCTGACGTGCCATGGGACCCCATCGACCTCGACTACCTGTCGCGACACCAAGCCCGTCACCGTCCCGCGCCGTGACATATCTGTGCAGCGTGTCCCACATCGGCGCACCCACACCCTGTCCCCCACTCTGAGACGCGCCCCGTCAGATACAAGTGGGGGTGACCCCACAGCCTCCGTGGCGTCAGATAGCGGCGGCCTAACACGACACCGGTCGTCAGACACGAATGAGTGCCGCTCGCTAGCTTCAGCGGCGTCAGACGGCGCGGACCGAATACAATCCCGCACGGTGTACTGATACACCCCGGATGCCGGGGCGGACTCTGCCGTCACTCCATCGCGCGGGGTCACGTAAATGTGAACCGCTTCGGCCACGGTACACTGGCGCCTCGCGGCGATGACTTTGATTGTCCGATGGCACCGCTCCACCACACCATTCCCGCCTGGCTCGTGGACAGCTCGGAATCTGAGAGCCACTCTCCACCGCGCCGCGAGCACAGCCATATGACGGCCACGGAACACCGTGTCATTGTCTGTCAGGATCTCCTCAGGGGCTCCGCGCTCGAGAAATAGCTGCTCTAGGTGGCCAACGATCTCGTTGGCGTTGGCGCGACGCAGCGAGCGCCACACGCAGAAGCGCGATGGCCCACAGTCAATGACGGTGAGGTAGTTCTGTCCGCGGTGATGGGTGACGTCGATGGATATGCGCTGCCACGGGACAGACACGCCGAGCGAGCCATGTCTCCACCGCACCGGGGCCGGGTCAATCGAGCGGCACGCGTCACAGTTCTCCACCACTGCACGAGCCATAGCCCGGGTGACGTCACGCGACACATCACGGCGGGCAAAGTACAATGTCCGACGGACACCGGGGTGGCCGGCCCGATCGTGTGACTGGCACACGGCTGCACGGAGCTCGTCCGCCGTACCGCTGTCGGCCCGCCCAGCGGCGGCACCGGCCAGAGGCGGCGGCTCGGAGACGACCGCCGCACTGACTCCGGGCGATGGAGACTCGCACTCTCGAGTCACACTCACGTTACGAAGCCAGTCTTTGGGGACTCGCGTCAATGCGTCAGCTCGGTTCTCAGCCGACCGCACGAGCGCCACCGACAGTCGTAGCCGCAGCTCACCGACCAGCTGACAGATGATCCCCACACGTCGCCGAATCAACATAGTCCAGCTGAGCACGCAGCGCTGCGTCATCGGTGACGTCATCCCACGCCCGAGTACATCCTTTTGGCGGTCCTTTGGCGTCTTTCAGCTATGCAAGAAGGAATCGGCAGACACAGACACCTGGGCGAGCGAGGAGGGGAAGTCGAGACCGTGTTTCCGCCAAAAGAGAAAACAACCAAGGTAGGTGGTAGCCTGGTAGGTAATTACACCTGCGCTATCTACATCAGCTGCCCCGCATGACACTAATGGGACCGTATTAGAGCCGGCGATAATCACGGAACATTAGTGTCGGGGCAGACTGCGGCGGGGCAGACTGCGGCGACCCCTAGGAAGAACAACTAGGGAGAACAACATTCGACAGATGGCAGCACTAGACGAGATAATCAGGCAATACTTAAATATTAATGGGAAAGAAATCATGCCAATGTTAGCCCTCACCAAGCATGTTACCACGACAATGGAAGAATGTAGTGTAGTACCCCTCCCCGGGCCCGCCGCGGGCTGGCAGCGGCGGCCGGAGCCGGTCCGACCTTTGGCCGGCCGGGTCAGGTAACCGGGACGGCCGCGCCGCGGCGCCGCGCCCGGGCCGGCCGGGAGACGGAGTCGGGTGCCCGCCGGCGAGCCGTCGGCAAGGGCGCGGGGCACATTAGTCGAGTTGAATGTTCACTGTTCAGTCTTGAGTGCGAGTGATGTATGTGTGAATCGATATGTGAGCAGCAAAATCCAACAAGAAAACAAATCCGTGAAAGAAAGGCAACGCTGGCAAACATCACCACTAGGGCTGATAATCCCGGGACTTTTTGGCAATCCCGGGATCCCGGGATTTTAGAAATGCAATCCCGGGATATCCCGGGATCCCGGGATTGAGCAGTTTTTATTTTAACCTGTCTACAAAGCAGAATTTTCTTGCAATATCGTATGTATATGGCGCATCCTTACCATCATAAACACAATACCAGGCATACACCTTCACCCCGAACAAATATCCCAGTAAACATGCCGACGTCGGCCCGACGTCGGCCGACGTCGGGGTGACGTCGGCAACTCGGCATCAGCATGCCGACGTCGGCCCGACGTCGGTCCAACCTCGGCACGACGTCGGCTGGATGTCGTATATGCCCGCATGTTCCGACGTCCAGCCGAGGTCCAGCCGACGTCGGGCCGACGTCGGGCCGAGATCAATTGCTGAGGTCCAGCCGACGTCGGGCCGACGTCGGGGCGACGTCGGACCGACATCGGCCGCTGTTTTGACCTTAAAATAATATAAAATACATGTTTCAAGTTTCATAAAGAGCTTCTGTATTCAAAATATCCCCAGGAAACTCAAATCTTCCTCCACGCCGCAACCCCCTGATCCGGACTGGACAGGAAACTTTATCCCATTTGGGATTGCCCGTAAGCCGAGCTCGCCCGTAGCCGGGTGCGGTGAGTGCTTGGGGGCTGCTCAGTGCTCGGCCTATCCTTTGGTCAGGCTCAGCCCCGGCAACTCACCAGGGCCAGGCCCAGTTCATATAGAAAGGCCAGTCGGCAAGTGTCACTTTGCCAAAGTGCCACTTATCAAAGGGACACTTCGGGAAACGTTGGTGCAGGTGTGTAAGAGTGGCTATATGAACCCATTGTGGGGTCGCCCTTTCCAATAAGTGTCACGTAACAGCAATGGGACCAGGGACTCTATATGAACTGGAGTCTGGACCCAGGGTGCTCGCCAAGAAGACCAATGTCTCCATCCTATGATCTTTCCGGCTCTGAAATGGTCTTGTCAGACCGAAAGGGCATAAGTCAACAAAACAAACCTGATTCGTTAACTGGCTGCGTGGTGTTGTGGTTAGCGCACTAACCTCGCGTTCGAATGATACCGGGTTCGAATCCCATCGCCGGCTAATGATTTTGGCGTGTTGTCCCAGTAAACATGCCGACGTCGGCGACTGGGGGGCTCGAATCCCGCCGCCGGTTGATATTTTTGGCGCGTTGTCCCAATAAACATGCCGACGTCGGCCCCGTCGGTCCAACGACGAACGATCTCGTCAACCTCGGCAAACGATCTCGGCCCGACGTCGGCTCGACGTCGGCTGGACTTCGGCTGGACGTCGGAACATGCGGGCATATCCGACGTCCAGCCGATGTCGGGACGAGGTTGAACCGACGTTGGGCCGACGTCGGGCCGAGCCTCGGCCCGACGTCGGGCCGACGTCGTCATGTTTACTGGGATAAGAGCATGAATGACATTGATCATTGTATTTCTTGTTTATATTTCGAGTCAGGATACAGTAGACGTGCCTACGGATTGTGGTCGTCTGACCAGCAGCATGTCAGATGGCCACACGACACTTTGCTGTGTGGCCATCTTGACTTCTTAGATAATGTTCCCACACCGCACTGCCTTTAAATTCAGCAAAATCCGACATTTTGGCAAAGTTAGCTATAGCTTATCACAAAGGCACGTAATTAATAATTTCACTAACGGTAACCATGCCCAGGGCGCCCGGCCAGCCTCATGGATCGTCCAGCCACGGGGCACTGACAGTAACTGAGCCACCAGACGTGCTCCCACAGTCACACAGAGAAGACGGCCGACCTCCTCCCACTCGATGGACTCGAATTCGATAGTCGGCATAGTATGTCATCGTGCAAAATGATCTGTTAAACCGAGTACGCGAGGGACGTCGCGGGGAGCGAGAGATGAGCCAAGAGAGAGCTCGTCTCTCGCCACATTGTGAAGGCTGAGACGGTGTGAAACAATGTCAATTAGGTATATATGTAACCAATACTTGTGCATAACGACTTTGCACGGCGTAAGTAAGATCTTTGGACATAAAACTGCACTGTAATGCGTTGTTACTCACTTACCTTTTTTACATACCTACTATCAGCTACACTTTATGAACGATGTTTCTGTACGGAAAATATCGGGATCCCGAAATCCCGATGCTTCTAATCCCGGGATTCGGGATTAATACAATCCCGGGATCCCGGGATCCCGATCCCGGGATTATCAGCCCTAATCACCACCATAGTCTTCCTACGCCGAACGAGTTCCACACCAACGTGCATCAGCGAGAGTAAAACTAGGATCCTAACAGACCCACCCACCGCCCCACCGTCACCCCATTCCTTCCCAAGTCTCCTTCCCCTCCGCTCGGGGCGTCTTTCAGCTATGCAAGAAGGAATCGGCAGCGTCTTTCAGCTATGCAAGAAGGAATCGGCAGACACAGACACCTGGGCGAGCGAGGAGGGGAAGTCGAGACCGTGTTTCCGCGGCGTCTTTCAGCTATGCAAGAAGGAATCGGCAGACACAGACACCTGGGCGAGCGAGGAGGGGAAGTCGAGACCGTGTTTCCGCCAAAAGAGAAAACAACCAAGGTAGGTGGTAGGTAACTACACCTGCGCTATCTACATCAGCTGCCCCGCATGACACTAATAATGTCAGCGCGCCGCACCAAACCGTGCCTACCCTGACATGAAAAAGATTTATGCGCCGGTTTTCGGGGAAAGTGGTCTGTTCGCCACCGAGCCGGACCCGGTCGGGAGCCGAGCGGTCTCGAGACGATCAGTAGGCAGATATCGACACGGCCACTTGACGTAGCTCCCACGCCTACTCCCCGCCCCGTCTCCCGTCCCTGAGCACACAGAGACAGAAGACAGCTCGACAACCACACTGTCAGCAGCTTTTACTCGAAGCAGCACCCACGCTGCCTCAGAGTTGGGCAATACAATACCGTCGTTTGATGAAAAGCTCTGCCGATCACACAAGCGCATCGTTTCAGTGAATTGACAATAGGAGATGCTGGTTTTATTACTCCCACCACTACGACAGATCATTTATTTCCCAGAGGAACTACGAGTGCTCGCCGTTTACCGTGAAAACATCAATTGATACCTGTGCAGATAAAGCTATCTCGTAGATCTGCACTGCCTGAACACCAGTACTGCAGCGGCGTATTTAGAAAATCGCGAAGGGGGGGGCCAAGGGTTTGGAGGGCGCCACCTCACCCAAGGAGGGCGCCATACGGTCGCGAGATAAAAAATCGCTCAGTGGGGGTTGGGGGGTTGGGAGGCGTTTTTTACCATGCCACCAGTTTTTTTTTTGCGTAACCTCGTATAGGTCGTGCTGCATTGATTTTGCATCGTGTGTATTCATTATACTCCAGGTCACAAAAGGTCAAGTGCTCTTGAAGTGCTGCGCCGAAGGCGCGCGAAATTTTTGAAAACAACCTTTTCCTCCGCTTTTTAGGCACGCCTTTTATACGATCACTGTTCAAAGCTCCTCTCGCTCTTTTACCAAATTTGAAGGTGTAAAAATACCTAAGGTTTGGTCGGGCCGCTGCCACACAAACTGTACAGAAAGCTTGGCTCATGGGTGTCGATGTATAAAAGTTTATTGGCGGTGGCATATCTACGCACCAGATCACCGTATCGGATTGATACCGGAGCGCGAGATGCGTAAACATCATCCAAATTACCTCAGACCAGCCTTCATAGCCTTCTCACAGATGCATACAGTGTACCCACATAACCAGTTTCAATCACCGAAACTTCAGATGCCTGCTGTTGCGCCCGAACCTGTTGACAATACTTAATCGTAATCCATATAGATGCCATGATGCACGTAAAGTAGGATCAATCCGTTAAGACCAATTGGGCGTAGGCAGGGGGGGGGCCACTGGGCCATGGCCCCCCCCTTGGGCGCCGAAGGCGCCCTTTGCGATTGGAGGGCGCCGAAGGCGCCCTCCAATCGCAAATGCAATTGTGATATAATCGAATCGAAAAACAATCGCGACTGGAGGGCGCCCTCCAATCGCGAATGTGTTTACAGGGAAAATACGGATGGAGGGCGCCCTCGGAGGACGCCCATTCCAAATACGCCCTCCAAATACGGTTGGAGGGCTCCCTCGGGCGCCCTCCAACCACATTTGTAGGCTGTAGCTCTCTAAGCGTAACGGTGGTCGCCTATGTAAGCCGCTGTCCTGTAAATAAGCGCCCTCTCACCCGAAGGCGCCCTC